CCAAGGCGTTGACAGCTTCGTCACTCAGCTGGCAACGACGGTCGTCAAGGGTGATTTTTGCGCTGCTGAAGCGAGGATAACTGGGAGGCAACCTCGCTTTGGATGTCGTGGTAATTCTGCGAGCTCTGGCATATCTCGTTGCTGTGGGACTTCTGCAAGCTGGAGGACATCACGACGACGGAAGCGGCTGTCATGGCAACAGAATTAGATTTTGTACTCAGGGTCCAAGCTGGCACGTTGTGAGTGACTTACTGTCAGAGTTTTTATTCAAGGTCTCAGGGCCCAGTTGCGAATGAGACGTGTGTTAACAAAGTTCAGAGGTTGACAACGTTCGGAGGTGGTTGTTTATTGCAAACCGACCCAGTCCACGCCAATTTGGACCAGGCCGTCCACTCCGCTGGAAATCCAGGACTGGGTCATCTCAGTCCACCAAAAAGAGTGGACTGGACTGGACTTTGGCAGACGGTCCAGCCCGACCGGCAGGCCGCCCCGGCCCGTGAGGAACACTGCCCCACCAGCTTCAACCGGCCGCCAGTTTGATTGGGAGTACTGCGCATAGTGGTCCTAAACGAGGTGAATCCATTAACACTGATGGCATGCTTGAGTGTGTTGAACTGTTCGACAGATGGTCTCTCCTTACTGCTCCCTCGCCTCACCCCCAAGCGACAGGGACGGGAGGTGAAGAAGCCGATTATTTCGAAGGCAGCCGCCTGCCACCCGGTGGAAGTAGTTCCAGCTTGTATCTATGCATGGTGATATCGTATCATCAACAAAACCGCGGCTACCGGTCCCTGTGCCACCGAAAACCTGTCACCCTCATAGCTGCGTTGTCTCTTGGAAATCTAGCAAATGTGACATTTATGAAAGTACCATTTGAGCTGACAACAGCCGGGATTATCACTCTGCCTATAAATGGTGGCGGAAAACCTGCCAGAGTCAGCGCCTCTGAGCTACATCACAGAAAGTATTTCGCAGGCCCGGAGAATAAACGAATGCATCTACGTTGTGGTGAGCTCACTGCCATCAGTATCCTCCTTTGTCAAACCAGGCTGTTACTGCAGGCGTGAGCCCCGTTGACCGTGTAGGTGCCTGTCAGGCGTGGGGACATTTTGCCGGTTATAGAGGGATATCTGGCGCGGAGTTCGCCGTGTTGCTGCTGAAGACCAGGCCAATAATGGGTTTCCCGCTGTTGTACGCCTCAAATCGGCACTATTGGTGTTTGCATGTTGTAATGGAAGCTTTGCCCTGATGTCGTAGTACTTAGTGCGGCCAAAGATAGCGAGAAGCAGCGGCCGACAGCTAAAGCATGCTGAGGTCAACATCGCTGCGCTTTTGGCTAGTAGGTACAGCATATCTCCTGATACTTGGGTTCCGGTGCACATGACATTCCACACTCCGCCTCTAGGGTCTCTTTTGAAGCGGGGGCCCATGAGTCATAACCGTGGAAGTATACGACCTCACAACACAGTTGATATTAGGTGCCTGATGTGTTACACCGCAACAGGTATGAGTCGCTTGTTTGCGAGGTTTCGTTTCATTCCCCGATCACTGCGTTCGAGCTCACCGTCGGAAACCACCACCAGCCCCGCGCGACCCTGTTTACACCACATTCGTTGAGTTCCAGCTTCGTGAAAATTCCCATCGCTGTTTGGTTTGAATGTGTTCTGGCTCGCTGCTGTGGGCTCCCTACGCCGGTAATCCGAGAGCGAATGTGGAAGCAAACGAAACAAACCAACGTCAGCTGCTGGCCGTGAACGAAATATATCTGCAAGGGCTGCGGAATCTCAAGGCAACTCACGATGATATGACAAAGCGATTAGGAATGGTGATCAAAAGTATAGCCGGCATCATGGATCTGATGCAAACTGAAATACGGCAAGCGCACCCACACAGCCTGGAAAGTGACCAAGACCAGAATTGCGTTCTACAGGACCTATTGACGCTGAACGGAAACATCGAATGTGAGCCATTGAATTCGTGTCTATGACTGGTTGGTAACAATCGAGGCCACGGCAACAATTTCTCATACCGAGGTGATTGAGGAGCGCCTGGAAACTATCGATGATTGCGCACTCAGGTTGGCTCTGCCCCTGAGCCTTAAACCCCCAAATGTGTATCGACAAGCGAACAGTGGATGGACTCCTGGCCTGCTTCAACAGAAAGACCTGCCAGCCTGAGAACGCCCTTTAAGACGACTTTGGTCCAATCCCCAATCCCACCGGGGTGAGCGACGATCGACCTGATGGTTATCTTTGCTCAACAGGACTGACTTGGAGGCTTCCCGTTGGGTCTGTAGATTAGGACTGCTGGCCATGGCAAAGCTCTCTCCCACGAGCTGTATATAGCATTTGTAGTGCGGATCTGGAAACACGGTGTTCTGGAACGCATGAACCACCTTGGACAGATGCTCAACTCCTGGTGCGGAGTTGGAAGACCCAGCAAGGGGGACAACATTTTTGTGGCTGTTTCGTCTACGTGCGTACGCACAGGTTGACCTACCTACCAACACTTCGTCGGCAAATCCAAGTTCAAACCACCAGCGGGTGTCTATTCCCTGCCATCAGCCAATCTGCGACACCACACTGAGGCGTTAACCTGCAACATAGAGCCTGCGATAACAGGCGACCGACCGACGGACCATCGCTGGAAAGTGCCAAACAGGTGCTAGTTGTCAAATGCAACGAGACATTTATATTCTTGAAGGAATCCAAGATCGCCCCGACCGTCCAATTTCACTCTTGTTGCTTCAATATGGGCACCCCCGAAGAAGCCGAGTTTGGTTCACCGCTGTGAGACAGCAGTTCAGCCTAGTCTTCTCGCCGGCCACAGCGGCAATGCCAGAAGCCCATCGCGTCATCCTCGCCGGCCTCAGCTGTCGACACAGCATGAGCTGCGATTTGCCAACGTTCTCTTTTGCGGTCAGTGGCCAGCAAACATCGAGTTCAACCAGGCTCTTATGGGCGGCCCAGGGTTGTGTACGCCGGAGAGCTCATCGACTGTCCGTTCGCCCTCATCTGCGACAGGAATATCTTTGACGCAGGGACGAGTACCTCTCTGAGCCGCGTCACGATTTCCAGGCCTTTATTCTGCTGGTGCTGCTGTACATGTTTCGTCCAGGATTAAGAGGAGCTTGTAGATTAGGATAGCGGTGTGTGAGTCGGCTCGGCACAGCTGTGTGGGGAGCTGGAAGCCACCTGCGTGCAGCCCACGTTTGTGAAGGCTGTTTGGTGTTTGGATTGTGCTTGTCCCACGATGCTAGTGGGGATTGCGGACGCATTTCTGTCGCCGAAGGGAGTTGTGATTTGGTAGACAGCCCATGATGACGAGAAATGGACTGCCGCAGTTGCAGTATTGCCGACCACGTTTTACGCACTCTCGGGCAGCACCGTTTGAGCTTCACAACGCCAACGCCCAGGCAGGTCACGTCGCTTGGGATGTTTGCAATCAAGCCTATTCGTATGCGCCAGTGAGCAATCATACCGCGTACTCATCTCAATCCTTATACCTGAGAGCGACGAATGGCAGCATCCCCCAACCCGGCAACATCTGCTGGTAATACAGGTGTCAGTAAAACATACTTCCCCAGTCCTCAGTGCGGTACAATGCTCCGTTGATATACCTGTCCGTCAGTATACGTTTTGGATTCCCACTGGTCTTGGGCCGCTGGTCATCCTGTAAGATTCAGTACGTTCCTGACTTGCGCTATTTCTATCCTTCCGGAAAACATGATTCTTTAGCTGGTGTGTGGTGCTCCCGCACCCTGCACGGCTTCATCCATTGATAGGTTGTGTCTTCGCACGGCACGGGCACGAAATCCTGGTACGATGTCGGTCGCGTTATAACAATGCGACTGCTTTTCACCACTGATTTGTCATTTTTAAAGCAAGATGCGCAGGCAACAAAACCGCCCTGTATGCCGCACGGCGAGCCTCTCTTTGTGCTGCGGCGAGGGCGGTGGTTCAACAATTCCAGGAGCGATTATGGCACATACCGCCAGCAAATCATTGACAGACACCCACCTTCCCAGCCCGTTACAGTAACTGTTATTGTATGTTTGACAACGCACACCACGTTGTATTGACTGGCTTCCTGTGGCCGGCGTTTGGGCATTGTCCAGGGTCTAATCATACTACCGGTACCACCAAACACCGTCCATGGTAATCGCAATCGTGGGCGATTGATGGTAAATGGTGGATATTGTGTGCCCATAGTTTGACTTTGACCGGGGATTAGCAGTTGACTGTGAGCTTCGGAACGATTTCACGTTGGGGAACGATTGATCTTTTTTCGATTTAGCCCGAGATTAGCTACTCCTTTGCCGCACGGAAACCTAGGGTGCTTCATGCACAACATGCACGCTGGCTCACGTCCCATTTTGACGAATCGGGTGGCCGTTGTGGCGAAACATAATATCATGGTTAGCAAGGTCTTTGATCGGCAGATTAGCCTTCATCGCATCAGAATTCCAGCTTTGCAGGAGGGTAACAACGGACCTGTCGGATATTGGCGTCCGGAGGTCCTTTCTGCGGCCATTCCTACGCCAATAAGCCGAAAACCTTTATTTTTACCAGGTGTGACTTGCAGTTGTCGTTGCACGACATATATATTATTCGATGGACATCTCAGTTTGTTCCCCAGAATACAATGCCAAACGGTCCCACCCTTCCGGTGGATAAATGGGCATTGAGCGATAGAATAACGCATCTTGGAATCGCAAATCTGAAGCATGAGGTCGTGGGGCTGCTCCAGGCCAGCTCGCGGCGAACACGCTGGTGCCGCGCGCGCTGTAGCAGCTGAGAGAAGTGGAGGAGGCGACGGAATGGGAATTTGAATACGCTGAGGGTTTGGTGTTGGACGGGCTGCAGAAATAGAACTTATGATGCCCCAATCGTAACTTCTACCACACCAGCAAAGCCCCCCCCGGCACTCCGGAATGACTGTCCATTGAGCAACCTCATCACTCTGCCGGCAAGAAGGAAAAAAAAAAAAAAAAAAAGAAATGTGTAGTCAGGGAATCGAACCCTAGTCTCACCATCATTGCAGTATGTCCGGGATACCGCAATGGACATGCGCTTTACCACTAAGCCACCTACACTTGCATGCTACATATAATTTTCGCCACTTGAAGCCAGTGAAGTATATCCTTTCAGCAACATTACATCCAACTACATTGTGCCCTTGTTCATGGCTTGCTCATCGCTGCGGCTGCCACTATTTAAAGACCGCGAGAGGTTGTTTCGAAGTCCGTTGCCGCCACAAAACTAAGATGTTCCGTGTTTGATTCAAAATGATGGACCTCTGCCGGAAGCACGGATACGTAGTCGACAGCAATTACAGAAGCTGGAGCCCGGCGGAAAGGCGCAGTCTGGTCCAGCGTGTTAGTGCTCAGCGGTATGTATGGTGCAAGGGCCCTAGAACCATGAACTTCGCTAGTGGAGTGATACCCGGGTCTGACAATTGAATGATGAACGGTGACACGCCGGCGTCTAATATTAACGGGACAAAATTTTAGAAAAACCATGACTTAAACAAAGTCCATCCAGTGTCCGCACCCCCACACGTCGTTTACTGCTGCAGTACCGGGGTATGGGGCATAAATTGTTTTTCACGGGGTATTGCGGGAATTTCCCACGACACACGGGGTATTGAGCATAATGGCAGTTGTTGGTGCGTGCCCCGTGTCCCCCACCGCAAGCTGGGATTTGCAGTATCCCTATATCCTGGTGTGCCGCCGATGCCCGTTTCTCGCACCCCACCACCACTCGCCGATCCTGAATCTCAGAGCGCGAGAGCCTGTTGGAAAACACCGAAGGTGGGGGATTGCTGCCATCGCGTAATGATTCAATAGTGGTGAGCTCAAAAAAATGCCACTACGGCGTGTAGTGGTTGATGACCAGACGGGCGGGCCACAAGCCGCTTAGTCACTCTCATTGGACGAGTTCTCTGCTATCCGACGTGCGGCCACTGTACCACCGCTCATGCGCCTTGCACCTACCTGCAGACGCCGTTTGAGGCTGATCGGTGCGATTTGAGGAACAATGATTCGTACCTAACGATCTCGATCATGGCGTCCACTACTGTTTGGACTGGTCAGTATCAGCATCGATGATAGAGACAGCCCTGTTACACGGGAGAACATGCACCACACTCTACCATATGAGTGTGGGGTCTGATATGGTGCTCTCCTATGTGCGATACTCGTTACTGGCAGTTGCGTTACGGTAAGCCCAACTTGCAACAGCGCGATCACTGACTATAAATCAAAAAAAACTAAAACAAAACGATCAACACAGCAAATCGCGGTGCGTACTTTTTAATCTCTGATCGACGCTGACAGAACTGGATTGTTGTCACCGTGTTGACTGTCATATACCGGTGAATGCCCTAGTTGCCATCATGGTTTAGACGTGTGGGACCGTAGTCCTAAGGCTGCGGATGGCGGTAGTCCAGGAGAACGTTCCATGCCATATCGCGGTTGCAAATCCGCAGATCGTAGTGCGGGGAACATACAGGATTTTCAAGAGCGGGACTGTCGTCAGGTTGCCACTGGGCATGTTTGCGCGGAACCTTATGATCGACATCGAGCTTTGGAAGCATCCAATTTGCTCTCTGCTGTCACTGGCGGGTTCCAGCAAATGTATCGGTCGGAATTCAGTTTTTGAAGAATGGGGCAGTAGCTACAGTGTCCTTTGGCTGTGCTACGGGCAACGCCGCACTCGCTCGATGACCCCTCCAAAGAGAAGCCCAGATTCTGGTAGCAGCAGCTGAGAGGTCAAGTATGGATCTGCGTCAGCGGATCTGCCAGACTACTCGAACAAGTGCATGAAACGCCCGGACGACTTGCAATGCAATAACCGCGTATTCAATCGGGTATTCATGGGACCAGATGGTAGCGCAATTGAGATGTTTTCCAGCCTTACTCAGTAATTAGCTGCAATGCGCGATGAAATTCGAGGTTGCGCGTTCTTATGTGAAGTATGCTCAGTTGCTTAACGTTTTCCAGTGTCTCAAGCGGTTGACAACACATATCCACTTTTCATACCACTCGTTAACATCATCAGCGGCAAAGACCGCACCCTTTCCGGCAAAGAGTTATGAATCGAGCTTGACCTCGCCATCTGCCGTAACCAGCAGAACCTCCCAACGCACCGATATACAAGACTCCATGGCTTCCGCACCGCTGAATGGCGACCCATACTCCTTCCACCCGACTCTCAAAAACATCTGTCATGGTCGAAACGGCGAAGAACTTGGGCCGTGGTGAACCACGCCGACTTTTGCATCATGGCCATCGTCACAGCGGGCTGTATCAAGAGCCGCAACAAGTTTAAGAAGGAATTTCTTGCACTGCTAGAAGCCCATGTGAAACAACCCTTACAGTCGGTGTTGTTGGAGTGGCGCGAGGCCTTCTATCCGCCAGGGAATGAGATTACGGATGGACGGCTGCCGCCCTACTAGGAAGCACAGCGGTGGCTAAGGATGATGGAGGCTTGTGATGATTCGATGAATTGTTTGGCCGGTGGTGAGGCGACTGATTGCCGGGTGGGCGGCGTTTGGCGGGCTATTGATGTTTGGCGCTGTGTGCACCTATGCGACACTGTCCTTGATCGATTGCCGGTTGGTTGCGGGGGTTTTTGGCTTGGATCGGTGTGGCAAGTGGGAGGGGGTCGGACGCCAGGCCCTGTGGGGCGTTGGTTTGAAATGGCAGGATGTAGAGCGCTGTGGTGTGTTTTGGCGATTGCCAGGTGTCCTGGTCGCCTTCAAGGTTGGAAGCTTTCGTTGGTGGAGAGTATATGAGAACTGGTAGCATTTGATGGTTCTGGTGGCGCACCAGATGTGTTGATTACGTGGGGGGGAAGGTTTATTCACGGCAGCGCTGTGGGCGACGTGGTGTGAGCTGAGCGGTCCCGGTGGTGGCAGGCTGCTGGGAATAGCAGTCTGTATCTGGAAGGCTGCTGGAAATAGCATTCTGTATCTGGAAGGCTTGGAAAAATAGTACTGAGGCATCGAGGCTGCTGATAATCTAGGGCTGTAAATGTAAGGTAGCTGTGATAATCAATTATAGCGCCTTATCCATCTACCGCAGGGGGGTAATATATGGAACCTCATGCGGCATCACTGGACATTGCGCTTACCACTTTCATTTGTATCATCTCCATACTTGGTTTTGAATGGTCATCTAAATTATGACTGGATCAGTTTCTTGAGCGGCATTGCATTTTCTTGAGGAATCTGCGATTTTACGGACGGTGTACAGACATGCGATAGGGAGAGTATTTATGTAGACTATCTGCGCCGGGCGCGAGAGCGCGCTCATTGACGACAACAAACTAACGCTTCGCATTTTGCGAGAACACTTACAAATGAGGGTCTATCTCCATCAATCTTGGAACTTATGCCTTACGCGAACATCGATTATGAGGTAGAGACGCAAATGAGCGAGAATAGGCAATAAAAACAGGTCTGCCACTCATCATACAGAAGCAAATGGGAACAGCCCCAGACGGACCCGCTCCCTCCTCCGGTCCCACACCATCACCATTTTGCCCGCGCCGCATGCCCTCGTTTTGATTAGGAGACTCTATAGCGGGAGTTGCCCCCGGTCTTAGCTCGCATTGTCCCAGCTGACAAAGCTGTTTCTGTCTCGTATGCAGGTGCTTCCGAACTGCAACCAGTCTTTTGCAATTGTCAGGTTGCGCTTCAAACTGGAAGTAAATCCGAAGGTGTAGCATACAGTGCCTACGTTTTTTTGGATCTTGTCAGAGATCTGTACGGACATTTTATATTTCATATTGAGCCGGCCTTGACGTTCTTTAACCGCATGCTTTCGTTTGCGGGTTTGAAGAATTGACAGATGACATGCGGATGCAGCACAATCTTGATAACCTTTGCCAAGGCAGTGCATCCTGCAGTTTGATTGAACACGAGATGAGGTCTTTTAGATACTAATTGCCGTCGTGTGTTAACATTGCTCTGTGCACAAGAAAACAGGAATAACTGCCCAGATGATAGTACTTTTCAAAGAAAGTAGTAATAATTGCAACACTATCAGTCCGGCAGGTGCGGACATAACCCAAAACTTTGAAGCACCTGCGCTTTGCACAGGTGTGACGCTACTAAAACCCCATCTAACTAACTGTGTCCACAGTGCGCATCCAGAAGTCTCTGCCTCTCTCAACGTTTGCTCAGCCTTTATTGTTCATACCTCCCTCAGAGGTGAACAATTACAGCTCGGCGTTTATGCGGCGAAAACCCTTATGGCTATTTTTGCAAGCGTGTAGCGAGGAAGGCTTCACTTCTTTCAAAATCGCTGGTTCCGCAAACACCCGTCCCTCCTCGACCATCTCCAGCGCGATTTTATTCGGACCTGAAGGTCAATACCACGAGGCCACTCACGGTCATCTGTGATGTGGACGTTCTTCATCCGGTATTGCGCTCATATAGCCACGGCCGGGCCGTCAGGTGGTTAGCGGGTGCGTTTGCAGTTGCCAGAGAACGCAGACGCATCTCCTTCGGACCCGAAGTCACCAGCACAATTCGAAAGGTTACCAGCGTTTCTCGGCGAGGGGGACGTTCTCGTACCAAGTACAAACAATCAACAGTTTTAAGCGGCTCTTCAACGAAGACGTCTGGCTGCTCGGCCAGCAGCTACGCCAGCTGGCAATCCAGCAGGCGATGGCCGCAGCTAAACTACAAATCCAACCGGAAGATGACGCCGTGAATTCGGCAGGAGCCCTGTTACGCTTCGACAACTCCACGCCTCTGAAGCCAACAAATGTGATGCGCAAGCTAGCGAGGGCGATTCCTGGGTAACCCGAAAAGATTGAGCCCACCGTACTATCCCCAAGCAAGCCGGCTGGCCCAATTGTCATTGAGCACGGCGAATCCACCGCCGCGTCCTTTGCGAGCTCACAGCAACGCCCCACCAATGATCAAATTGAAATATACTCAGACGGAGGACGGACACAGCGTCTATGGAGCCGTTACACAAACCGAAAAGCAGCCAGACATGTGGTGCCGCATAGGTGGTTATCTAGGTTATAACAAAGAGGCATACGATGCAGAGCTCTATGGCCATTGCCGCTGGACCTGAAA